GAGTATGAGATGCATAAAACTGCAGTAAGTCAGACACCTAGCGTAGCAGCTTAGGAGACAAAGGGTATATCTACACTACCTGCCGGACCAGTGGGTAGTGATCAATCTATGGGGGATCGATTTATCGCATCAATCCCCGACCGCTCTGCCGCAGAGGGGGGACGGCAGGACGCGAAGTAAGTGATTCTAAGTCGATCTAAGATATGCAACTTCAGCTATGAGAATAGTGTAGCTGAAGTCGATGTATCTCAGATCGATACCCCCCAGAGCGTAGACCAGGCCAAAGTCTATGGATTCCACAGATGTGTGTTAAGTGATTTAAGAATTTAAATTTAACACAGTTCCATACTAGTTTAATTTTTTTTGAAGAACTGAAGTTAAGGGGAATATCTTATCCCAATGGGTAATCAGATTTCATTAGTACTGAAATATTAATTTATTGTATGTCTGTCAGATATGAAAATTCTAAGTTTCCAGCTCTTTAGCCCAAAACGGCATACGTCAGCATATAAAAGAGACACTAATTTATTTACACAGATCTAGACCAGACAGTGCCTCAATTCTGGAGAATTATGTATTTGGAACAGAACCTCTGTCCTTTTCCCTCTTCTAGTATAATAGCTTGACCCCCTTTTGTTTCATCTTATTTTCTGTATGATTTCATACACACGTGTAGATCAAGTAATCACAGGTTATTGTTCACACAGCCTCCAGCATGATTCAAGTATTTGAGGATTTTAAAAGCATGTAAGGCTAGTCTACACCACAAACTGAGGTCAGCTTAACATAGCTCAGGGCTATGAAAAACTTCACCCTGTGAGACAAAGTTAAGCCAACCTAAACCCCAGGGTAGACACTGCTAAATCAATGGAAGAATTCTTCCATCAACCTAGCTACTGCATCTTGAAGAGATGCATTTACTACAGCAGGGGTCGGCAACCTTTCAGAAGTGGTGTGCCGAGTCTTCGTTTATTCACTCTAAGTTAAGGTTTCGCGTGCCAGTAATACATTTTAACATTTTTAGAAAGTCTATAATATATAAACTATTGTTGTATGTAAATTAAATAAGGTTTTTAAAATGTTTAAGAAGCTTCATTTAAAATTAAATTAAAATGCAGAGCCCCCCGGACCGGTGGCCGCAACCCATGCAGTGTGAGTGTCGCTGAAAATCAGCTTGCGTGCTGCCTTCGGCACACGTGCCATAGGTTGCCTACCCCTATACTACAGCAACGGAAGAACCCCTTCCACCACTGTAATAAGCGTCTACATTACAATAGTGCAGCTGCAGCGTTTCTAGTGCACATATACGCTTAATATTTACTTTACTCTACTCTTATCATTGAAATCAATGGGAGCAAACTCCTGTTGACAGGGTGGCAGAGTTATTAATACTTTGGAAACCACTGAATTTCTTACCTCCAGGAGTCTTAATTCTCAACCCTACTATTGCTTTAAACAGGGTTTTTCCTACCATTACCTATAGTAGGTGTTACAGGAAGCACCGCTGACAATTCAGTAAATGACTGAGTACTTAACAGACCACAGCAGTAGGGAGTAGTATGTTGGAGATGTCAGGCCAAATTCAACCCTGGCATAAACAAGATCAATTCAATAAGCTCATGATAGAATTTAATATGCATTTTAGATTAAATGTAAAGCCAAGGTCCTGATCACCGGCAATCACAGAAGAGCCATGGAACAATTCATAGGAGCATTTATCCAAGCAGCTAAGGCAAACTACAACTCATTGATTTTTAAGATTAATATTACAAGGTTAACTAGAAGTGTTTGATTATTTCCTAGCAGTAGTCCTACAACCAAAGACGGGTGGGCAAACCCCTCCATGGAGGCCCCCCCCCCCCCCCCCGCAGTCAATTGGGATTCATCCATGCAAATCCATTTGCAGAATCACAGCTTTGTTTGCTACTATTGATATTTGGTGAACACTGTGGGTGTTACAGGTTATTTTTCATTAATATGGGGGTCCATGGTACAAAGCTCAACAATACCCTTTTAATTAGACCAATGCAACAGAAAAATTCATATACAGAAAATTCGTTTCCAGAACATACCAGTGAGAAATCACGAGCAATTCACTTTTTATAAAAGCAGTAATTTTAAGTAACACAGAACATCATGGTCATTTTTACATTGCAGTTTAGCCTACTGATGAGTTCATAAAGTTATGAGATGCACAATCAGGCCCTAAGTCAACTGGCCCCCTGAAATCAATGGACTCACATGAGCAGAGACTGGCTCCTGTAAATAAGGGTTTACAAAGCCACTTTGACCCTGATTCAGTGACTAACAAAACACTTTAGTCGTTCTCATTGAAATCAACCCGTTCCATTGGAAACTCTCCAAACTGAAATCAGCGGTACTACACATACATATTTATGAACCTGACTAAATTGGAGTTTTATCTTTAATCGTGTGTTTAGACAGTGATACTCTGAAGGAAAGAGAAAAATGTAAGAAACTAAACTACTACCCTGATCCCAACAGGTTCCGAGCACCTACAGCTTCTATTAAAGTTGATGGGAGTCAAAAGTGTAGATGCTTAGCATTTTGCAGATTCAAAGCTGCTGAGTGTATTTCAGAAATTAAAACTAAGTTATTGACTTAATAAAGTGAGCAGGAAGAACCAACTCAAGTTGGGCTCAAGATGTGGCTTTTGTAAAAACATTCTTTTACAAGATCTGTAAGTGTCAAGTAGCCCAAACGGCAGGTTTGGACAATATTTAGTAGTTTCAAATTCAGAGACGCATTATCTAGTCTGAAAACATTGTTCATCTGGGTGTATACCCTATATTAGTGTGCCTATTAAAACACCCAGTTTGGATATATTTCAAATTCTGTTTTACCTGAAACTATCAGGTGGAGTGTGGTAAGCAGGAAAATGGATAAAAAAGCAAACTAAATGTTCATGACATTTTCTGAAACTAGTTCCTTGCTTACTTCTGCCTAAAAACAACAGGAATATTTACATTAATTTGGAACTATGCCAGTATGGTCCTGTGGGTAGGACACTGAACTAGGACTCAGGAGACCCAAGTTCTACTCCTGGCTCTGCCCATGGCCTGCTTTGTGGCCTTGAGCAAGTCCTATCACCTCTCCTCCTCTATTTACCCTCCTCCCCCCATCTTGCCTATTATGGGCTTGTCCACACTTACAGAGCCACCCTGTAATGCTTAGTGAAGATGACACCTATGCTGAGAGGAGAAGCCCTCCCTTTGACATAGCTCTGTCTATACCAGGGCAGATCAGCGTAACTGCATCATTCAAGGATGTGGATTTTCCACACCCCCTGAGCGACCTAGTTATACCAACATAAGTACGTAGTTTAGACCAAGCCTCAGTCTATGTGTACACTACAAATTACTACCTACATTGCTTGGGGGTGTGAATAATCCACATCCCTGAGCAATGCAAGTTATATTACCCTAAACACCAGTACACACAATCAACCTGTGGAACTCATTGCCAGAGGATGTTGTGAAGGCCCAGACTATAACAGGGTTCAAAAGAGAACTAGATAAATTCATGGAGGATAGGTCCATCAATGGCTATTAGCCAGGATGGACACGGATGGTGTCCCTAACCTCTGTTTGCCAGAAGCTGGGAATGAATGACAGGAAATAGGTCACCTGATGATTACCTGTTCATTCCCTCTGGGGCACCTGACATTGGCCACTGTCAGAAGACAGGATACTGGGCTAGATGGACCTTTGGTCTGACCCAGTATGGCCGTTCTTATGACAGCACTATATTAGTGGGAGATCTCCTGCTGCCACAGCCACCATCTCTATGGAGGCAGGAGTTATTAAGCAGATGGGAGAGAGCTCTCCCATTTGGCTTAGAACATCTTCACCAGAAACTCAGTCTACAGCAGGGGTCTCAAACACACAGCCTGTGGGGTTATTTTCTGCGGCCCACAAGCTCCTCACAGCCCCCAGAGTTTATCTAGAGCGGCTCCAGCCCAACACGCACCAGGAGCGGGCTCCCTGCCTGCCTGCCTGCCCTGCCCCCACCCCACTCCAGGAAGCGACCGGAACCTGGGGAAGGGAGGGGGGGGGCACAAGAGTCTGTGTGTTGCTGTTGCTTCAGGGAGCACCCCCAGCAGCTCCCATTGGCCGGGAACAGGGAACTGTGGCCAATAGGAGCTGCTGGGTGTGCTGCCTGAAGCAAGAGCAACACGCAGACTCTTGTGCCCCCCCTTTCCCCAGGTTCCGTCCGCTTCCCGGAGCGGCGCAGGGGCAGGGCAGGGATCCTGCCCCGCCCCCGGTGCGTGCCAGCCCAGAGCCCACCCCCCAAACCCCTCTTGCATCCCAACCCCCTGCCACACCCCAACCCTCTGCCCTGAATCCCCTGCTGCTCCCCTCCTGCACCCCAACCTCCTGCCCTGAGCCCCCACCACACCCCTCCCATACCCCAGGGGGCAGAGTTGGGGTGGGGTTTCAGGGAAGGGGTTAGAATGGGGTCGGGGCAGGGCAGGGGCGGGGCCTCATGAAAGGGGTGGAGTGGGATGGGGCAGAGGGCAGCAGGGGGGTGGGGGTCAGTAATGCAGCCCTCAGGCCAATGTACTAGTCCTCATATGGCCCTCATGGTCATTTGAGTTTGAGACCCCTGCTCCACAGTGATCACAATTAAGCCCCAATCAACTGATGTACCTTGGTGTCACGATAATAAAAATAGCCAGATATATTTATAAACAGTGTTTGGAAGGAACCAAACTAGTGCAGTGCTGAGGAAATGAAATGGACTGAGAATTACAGTGAAACTGACAACTTATTTTTTAACAGTCTGAACAGCAAAAGGCCAAGATCATCCTAACAGAGACAGATAAGGAAGTTGTTTGAATGTTCTTCCTACGGAAAGGGCCTCTTTGAAAGCCAGCCTCCTGCCTCTATCACAGATTTCAGAGACTGCTGCTGGCTGGGAGGGTGGCAACTCATCTGATCAGCGACGGGGGTCCTGGCGGATACCCTCGAGATACCTACACAGGCCAGAGACGTCCAGCATGTTAGAGATGCCCCGGTCACACATGTCCACCTCGGGCTGGTTCTTCTCCCTACTCTCCTCCACGATCTTCTTCAGGGACTTGGACATGGCCTGGGTCAAAACACAAATAACTGCTCGTGACGGGGCTGCGCCCACACACCAACCGAGCTGGAAGTCAAGGGGGTGGGGGGAACAGAGACCCGCCGAGATGCGGCGCCCCGGCCACGGGAGGCTCCGGGCTGCAGATCTGACCTCAGCCAAGGTAGCGTGTCCGGGGCAAGGGGGTGACCGCCCCCCCAAAGCTACAAGCGCCCGGGGCAGCGGGGCGACCCTACCCAGGGCGGCCCGGAGCGGCCGGGGAGCGGGACACCCGTGCCCTGAGGGACGCACTCCACAGGGGCGCCCGGGCCGGAAAGCGGAGCCGCTCCGTGACCCCCGAGACCACTCACCGGTGGGTGCTGCGGGCGGGGCCGTGCGGCGCGGGCAGGAGAACGCGGAGTCGGCAGGGACACTCACTGCCCGGGACACGCCCTGCTAAGATACCGCCCACTCCCCCGCCCCCAAGCGCACGCTCCGCGCACGCAGGCGCACTAGCCCCCGGTTGACCGGGGCAGCGGAAAGCTCTCAGCCCCAAATAAGGCGAATCGCTCCGGGGCCCGCTCCACCCCCACTTGGAATGTGCAGCTCCCGGGTGGCCAATCAGGGCCGGGCATCCCGACAGCCAGCCAATGGCCGGGGCCGGGGTACGAGCGGCGCGCGGTGTGCTGTGTGGCCGCGGGAAGGGAGTTTCCTAACTTGTTCGGCGCGCGCTCAGTGCTGGGAGGGAGGGGGAGCGGTGTAGGCAGCTGCTGCAAGGCTGCGCCCTGCTCATTTGCCCAGTGACCTCTTGGCATCCGCCCCCAGCGCAGCAATGGGGGGCGGGGGCAACGAGAGGGGATGGGAGGCAAAGTCGGATCTGAGGTCTGCTAGCTAGCTGGAGCCCTGTGGCAAGCTACGCCTCCCGTGTCGGTTGGTGCTCGCTCGCACAACCATAAGTTTGAGTAAACTTCTAAACAGCTGTTCCAGAGCCACGTGGCAAGAAACTTTCCCATTAATTCGGAGTATTTGGTTTATTTACGTCTGGATTTAAAATAAGAGACGGATGAAACAGGTGAGGGAAGATGTGTTTAGGGAAGGGCCAGCACCAATTTGCCTCACAAATACTTTCTAGCTTTTGATCAAATAGATTGAAGAACCATGCTGAAGTGTCCATTTGCTTTTGGGGAGGGAATAATTTTAAAGGATTTGCTCTGCATGTAAATAATTTTGATCTTGTGACGGGTTGGGTCACACAAACCCCCTTGGGAGCTGCCACCCGATGTGCCAAGACTACCCCTGCTCCTGTTTTCCCTGCCCACTCAGGACTCCAGCACCCTGTCTTGCTGAGCCAGATACTCCAGTCTGCTGCAACATAGACCCAGGGTCTGAATCACTGGTCCCAAAGCTTCAAGTTTACCTGAAAACAGCTTACAGAAGTGTGCTTGTCTTTAGCACTCAGATGCCCAACTCCCAATGGGGTCTAAACCCAAATAAATCCGTTTTACCCTGTATAAAGCTTATGCAGGGCAAACTCATAAATTGTTTGCCCTCTATAACACTCAGAGATATGCACAGTTGTTTGCTCCCCCAGGTATTAATACATACTCTGAGTAAATTACTAAATAAAAAGTGATTTTATTAAATACAGACAGTAGGATTTAAGTGGTTCCAAGTAGTAACAGACAGAACAAAGTAAGTCACCAAGCAAAATAAAATAAAATGCGCAAATCTATGCCTAATCAAACTGAATACAGATAATCTCACCCTCAGAGATGCTTCAGTAAGTTTTTTCTCAGACTGGACACCTTCCAGGCCTGGGCACAATTCTTTTCCTGGTACAGCTCTTGTTCCAGCTCAGGTGATAGCTAGGGGATTCTTCATGATGGCTCCTCTCTCCCCTTTGTTTTCTTCCACCCCTTTATAGATCTTTTGCATAAGGCGGGAACCCTTTGTCCCTCTGGGTTTCCACCCCCCCTCACTGGAAAAGCACCAGGTTAAAGATGGATTCCAGTTCAGGTGACATGATCACATGTCACTGCAAGACTTCATTACTCACTTGCCATCACACACATATATAGAAGACTCACAGGTAAAGACAGCCATCTGCAGACAATGGGAGTCATCAAGATTCCAAACCATCATTGATGGCCCACACTTTACATAATTACAATAGGCCCTCAGAGTTATATTTTATATTTCTAGTTTTAGATACAAGAGTGGTACATTTATACAAATCGGATGATCACACTCAGTAGGTTATAAGCTTTGTAATGATGCCTTACAAGAGACCTTTTGCATGAAGCATATCCCAGTTACGTTATATTCACTTTTTACCATATTTTTCTAAAGCTATCCCAGTTACATTATATTCACTTATTATCATGTTTTTATAAAACCATATAGACTACACAACGTCACAGATCTGTTCTTTGCCACATAGACAGGCAACATAATGCAACTGAGCAATTTTGGTCTTATTCATTATCTATTCTTAGGATAGAATCATAGAATCATAGAATATCAGGGTTGGAAGGGACCTCAAGAGGTCATCTAGTCCAACCCCCTGCTCAAAGCAGGACCAATTCCCAACTAAATCATCCCAGCCAGGGCTTTCTCAAGCCGGGCCTTAAAAACCTCCAAGGAAGGTTACCTCCCTAGGTAACACATTCCAGTGTTTCACTACCCTCCTAGTGAAATAGTTTTTCCTAATATCCAACCTGGACCTCCCCCACTGCAACTTGAGACCATTGCGCCTTGTTCTGTCATCTGCCACCACTGAGAACAGCCGAGCTCCATCCTCTTTGGAACCCCCCCTTCAGGTAGTTGAAGGCTGCTTTCAACTCCCCCCTCATTCTTCTCGTCTGGAGACTAAACAATCCCAGTTCCCTCAGCCTCT